ACCAATCACTTGATCAATTTGACATGGCTAGCTAATTAGACAGACGAGCTTTAGAATTGGATGGTATCTCATGTCCAATTGATGGGCTCTACAATACTATTATTATTATTTGATACATTGTGATAAAATTTCTCCTTAATTAATACTCAAATTTAGTGAAACCTTATTACTTTAGTGAACAAAATATGCTAACTAAAAGATATCTCGGCCGTATTAAGTCCAACAAGTCTTGTAAACATCTTTCAACGAATTTTATTAACGTTGCCATAAGCTTTTGATGAAGTCCTAATTCCTAGATAATTACTAATAAGATATTAGATACTACAAGTTAAGATTCAGAGCGAGCAACAGTCAATAATTAAATTCCCTTATTTTGATTTTATTCCTTCTTGGATCTCTCATAGACCCGGCCAACCAAGAAACTGAGGGTGTGTGTTAGTATTAGTTTCTTTTTTTTCTTTTTTTTCATTTCTGCTATGCGGTGAAAGAAGGAAAATAGAATAATCTAAGTCACAATATTCCACTTATAAACTCGTAAGATGCCTTGGAGCTATTGATTTTTTTTTCCCCCTTTCCCGTATCACTACTTTTTCGCTCTCCTTTAAGTTATCGGCCTGATGCTGCATTTGTTTATTGTTTTCACTCATATTTCTTGATTATGGGGAGTGAGATGCTGTTTGGAATGAGAAAGAGCAAGAAAAGTTGATTGATTCCTCGAGATTTTACATTCAGGCTTCTCGACTACTCGATCCCCACATTTCATTTCCACCAGAAGATCACTCCGTCAGTGGAGTGGCATATAAAGTTGACAATTGCTTAACTGGGTTTCAAGGGCGCTACCAAAACGTACTGGTTTGGTGAACTGATTAAGGCAGCAAGCAAACCCATGATTTTCTAGCAGTATTTTTCCTGTGACGTTTCCCAGAAAGGAATTTTGGTGAATTATTTGATTGTTTGACCAACTATGCAACTTCCATGAAGCACACAAGCACAGCTTACTATCAATATACTGATTAGCATTGAAGGGTTCAGAAGTTGCCAATCTGTCAGAGAAGCAATGGCAGCACTAGTTCCTTCATTGCCCGTATTAAATAAGGAGCTTCCCTGCAACCTATGATTGTTGCAATAATTGGTAATGTCAGACCATATCGGCTGACCTGACCTGTCGCTGATGATGATCGGTGTTCCTACATTCCCGTGGCGTGAATGTGAACCAAATTAATCAAAATTTTAGTTTGTAAAACAATCTTGATTAGTGGGATTCGTTAAGTAATCTTATACGGCCATGTTATAAACAAGTTTGGTGACATTTAAAAGGGAATAAACCCACTCACGAAACCATCAAAGGCCTTTAATTGACTTTACATGCATTATTTAATTATCATCAGATTCCCAATCCCTCCTTTCCGGCCCCATTTTCATAAACCATCTGCATGCGGACTAACTACTTTTGGGAGCCGGATTTTTCAATTTTATAAATCAATATTGTACTATTAGATATGGACTCAGCCTCTGATTCTAGAGCAGCACCCGCATGGCGCAGCCTACGGCATCTCACCAGCTGATTAAGTTAGGGAAATACTACACTTCATTGGAAACAAGATTAAGTAGCAGGTAGGCGGTATGTGCCTGATGAAATCGTGCGTGATTGAGATTCTGTAACGTGCACAATCTGTTCAGTAGGGACATAATTTCCTGAGTTAGTGTGAGACTAGCTAGTTTCTGTTAACAAAAGAGTTCGATGGAAATATAGGAACACCTGTTGTCGTCGGCCGAGGAGACCTTGATCTATTTGGTTAAAGTTGAGACTCAAAAACTTACAAATTATGGGTTCAAGTCCCCCGCATTACTCCATGCTTCTAAATTAACACCCCTCCCACGTCATATTTATTTAAATCACACCTCAGCTTCATGGATAAATTGGAACTTTACCAGTCGAGCTAGATCAGATGACTGACAGATTGAGAGTAGTAAACTCCATGGTTAAGTATAATTTATTTAATGCTACCGCGCAGCAGTTCGAATCTTAATTAATTTGGCCTTTTTATCCATCTTGACGACAAGTATGTAGTGTGACTAAGTTTAATGGAGCCGAAAGCATTAAAAAAAAAAAATTTGTACAGCATACTTACTTGTGATACAAAAAGTACTTTTGCCACAGTTTTCAGAAGACAGTAAACGATCACAGTTAGATACTTACTAGAAAAAATTCTAGTACTTGTATGCTCCTAGAAAGGCCAATATCTGTAGCAATCCGAAAATTATGGGAAGAAGCAATCCTAGGGTGACACCACAATCACGCGTGGCACGGTTGTAGATCTGCAGATTAAAGGGATCAGTTGGATACAAGCTGTCTTGGGGGCCGCCTATCACGTACGTGAATCTTGGAGGGGGTGGTGTTATTTGTGTTAGTTCTGGAGGGCCTGAAAAGTAGTAGAACCTTGGCGGTGGCGGAACTTGTGGAGGACAATACTGAGTGATCTGTGGCGGCGGAGGCGGAGGTGGCTGCTGCTGAGTGCATGGATTTACGCACGGACACTCCCCACATTTTATGCTCGCCTCAGGCATGGGTTGCACCGTGGATTCGTCGAACTTTTCATGACGATTAGCACTTGTTGGAACCAGTGTTAAAAGGAGGAAAATAAACTTCATATGATCTAATATTCGATTCCCTTGACACATTGCTTTTAATTTTGGAGATGATGATGGAGAGAGGAGAGAAGCTTTAGCTAGTAGTGGAAGCTATATGACACACCAGTACGAAATTAAGAAGCAGAAAGGTGAGAGCTAGGTGTTTGAATATATATGAAGAAATACTCTAGCTAGCGAGAGGTGATTTCTTCATGTGATGTGGGGGGGCTTGCGTTTAAGCGTGCGTTGGCAGCTTTGCTTGCTGCATGGACAAGAGAGGCGGCTATCAAGTCCGGGATAAAGTTCTTGTTGGTTAGGAAATTAAGGGCTTTTATGGAGACGGAGACTCGGTACGCATATCAGAGTAATTATGAGGCTCTTTCTATGGTATGGTTATGGTAGTAGAATTGAAGGCGTGCATGAAAGCGAATTGCATGTGGCTGCTGTAAATACGTAGGACCTTTCTAGACTTGATCATCTCCTCTTTACGACGACATGATAAACTAAAGTTGTCCCTCAGAATAAATTCCATTTCTCAAATGGAATGGAATGGCATGGAGAATCATTTGCCCTTTTTTTGGGGGGGGGGGGGGGGGGGGGGGGTACGTAATACAATTCGCATCTAATAATGTGTGGCATATCAGGCTATTGGCTGTGTTTTTGCTCGTCTTAAAACGGAAGGAATGTTCAAAAATTTTGCTGTTAAACTTTTAGTATCACAATCGTACGTGGTGCTTCATACATCCTACTAGATCGATGAAAAGTGTGCCGTTGGCATTATTATCACTATATTAGTTAGTTCGACTTTCTTTCAATTATACCTACGTACTAATTGTTTGAGGAAACTCAAAAACATATGTCTCTTTTTCTCCCTTAATGGATTCGATGGCCAATTACAGTTTTGTTGGCATCATCTCACTGTGCTGGGAAGTGGAAAGGGCATCTCATGTATCTTGGCATTTTAGAAATCAACAAAATGATGGGTTCAGCTACTGCAGGTACGAGTATGCACGTACTTCCTCCAGCAGCTGATCAAAGCCGGCCTCTAATAAAATGTGTGGTGTGAAGCTTTGGAGGAGGCCAAAAGCAAACCACCTGACCCGTCAAACTCGTGGATCCCATTCCCATAGCTTAGCTATTGGCTGATTTAATGATCATGAATGAGGTATCATAATTTATGGAGTTGGGCAGAACTTTCTTTTCTTGGCTTGGCTTTTACAGATTGGAATGGTTGGATCGATTCCAAAAACGAGCTGTTGAAAACAGAATGAATACTTGTACGTAACGCAACGGGGTCGAATCTAATACGCAGCCCAAATTGTGCACTTTCATTTGCTCTTTAACAGCTGGGAACCTGCTGCATTCCTTTACAGTGTATTGCTTTACAACTTTTACAATAATATTTTGTTTAGGTTTTATTCAGTTTTTATGTGGAATGTAATGTAATTTTTTTTTTTTTTAGTAACGTACGTATTACTCTAGATATCCTCTCCAAACTCACCTATCTCAATTTGTCTTTCAACTATGTTCAAGGCGAGTTTTCTTCTTCTCAAGTAAACCTTACACAACTGGCACAACTCGATGTTTCTTTGAACTCGATTGAAAGCTTAATTCCACCGGGTATCGGAAACTTGACAAATTTAGTTGCTTTAGATTTGAGCCAGAATTCTTTCGAGGGTCTCATCCCTCCAACACGTGGTAAATTAACTAGTTTTTGTTCCTTGACAGCTAATTTCGGAAGAAAATTTAAAGCTTCCTCTTTATTACAGAGTACTCTTCATTCAGCCATTATTATTATTATTAAAAAAAAAGTGTGGAGTAATCTTTGTTTTGAGGGCAGTATGGAGTAATATTAAGACAGAATAATGTAAAAAAAAAAAATTAATCTTCGTGTAAGGAGTGGTTACAACCAATTAAATGATGGTAAAATGTAATCAATAGTCCTTGATCAGCAACTTGATGGGAATAGTTATATTCCAGGCTCAACTCCCATCAACTCATTTTTTGCTTTTAAAAGGGGTAAAAGGAAACCGGAAAAGACGCCTTCCTGCCCTCCAAGCTCCACGCGCGCGCGCACACACACACACACAGGCTTATGTGCCTTTAGAACATGGCCAGTCAGGAGAAAGGGCCATCTTTTCAGGCTCATGCCTTTAGGACAGGCCTAAAAGCCAGTCTTATTCATTTCTCAGTGCCTATTGTCTTAGCCCAAACTGAAGCCCAGATTTAAATTCGTGGAATCCCGTTTTCTGTTCCTGGAAGCCAGTTTGAGTGAGCTGCAGTATTTACCTAACAAACAGTTGAAGTTTATCAACATAAGTAGATAACATGGCAACTCCATTCAGCCAGAATTTTCGTCGTCCTCTCACGTGCCCGGCATGTGGATTGGAATCATCATGTTGTTCGCGCATCGCGCGTTAGTTTTCCCATCTGGCCTCGCCTGCCAGTGTCCCATGTGCCCGTGCTTCCGTCTTTCTGATCTTCTGCTGCATTTGCTCTCTTCCCGCTGCATTCTCTCTCCCACTACATTCTCTTTCTTTCTTTTTTTGGTTTTTTTTTTGGGATAATGTTGCTCTATCACTTATCCGCATCCTCTGGAACCTGGTACAAAATTTTGTTGACCTCCTCCTTTGTTGTAATAGGCTTTCTTCTTCATCTCCGGTGAGGTCAGATCTTCTCTTCAGGTTGCCTCTGCTCTGCCCCTCTTTTTTTTTTTTTGCTAAAGTTCGTATTTCTTTTGTCCCTTGTCCACTGACGTGCAGTTTTCTGCTTTTTTTTCTCATCCACGGGCTTGTTACCGCCCAAGGACGTGCCATCTTCACTGTTGGTTGCAGATCTTGTGCTTTCTTCTTTCTCTCCAGTGAGGTCGGGTCTTCTCTTCAGGTTGCTCTGTATTCATGTTTTTCTCCTTCTCTGTAAAAACTTGTTTGATGCTAATGGTTCTTGTGTTTTGTTGTGCAAGCATTTTTTTCATTGCTTTTAGGAGACTGGTTTGTGATTTCTTTGGTAGCTGGGATTTGGACTCTCGAAGCCGTTTGTTTGGCTGCCCCTCTTTACTTGTCTTTCCCTCTCCTCCCCATCATCAAATTCCAGCCACATCTTCTAATGTAGCTCTCTACTACTTACAGACGGAATCCGCAGTAGAAGTTTTTGAACTGAAAAAGGAAAGCTAATCTCAGGGAGATAGACAGAAGAGAAGGTACGAGTACGACGGCGTCCAAGATGCAGAGTATCGCGGTTCTTCAGACCGAGAATAACCTTGCAACCGGAGGTATACTTTCTTCAACTTTCTTCCTTCTCTCAATATCTCAATCTCTCTCTTTCGCGCTCTTTTTTCTTTTGTTTCAATTAATCTGAATTTCTATCTACATTTCAACGGAGTAGTAGTATATCGTCCTTAATTGGTGCACAACATTAGGAAATCTTGTTCTCTTTCGTTGTTTCCCCTCTTTAATAATCGAACCACTTCAAGAAAAAAACCGACCTTGGGAATTATTTTGCCCTAATACCCATTGTGGGTTTCGTAAATTTTGGTAATTTATTATATTTAGCTAAGAGAATTGGAGGTTTTGGTATAATTTGTGTAAAATTCCACGATTTTTCGGCTAGCAGTTTGGGTTTTAGAATTGCTGGCTTTGTCTGAATTGTTATCTCTTCTATATTTAATGGATATCTGAGGATCATTTAGTATCTGAAACTAATAAATCTACCAACGCTTACAGTCATGAGTGTAGAGTTAACTAAATATGTTAACCTCTTTATGAATAACTTTTTAAGGACTTTTATGCTAATTCTTCGCATTCAAAAAGGAGATAAATGGAAGAAACATTATTTTCTGATATTAGAGACACCTGCGGGAAAGAAGATGATAGCAAGTTACTGACCCCAGGTAGTATGAGATGAGATTGTATTGTAATTGAGCAGGGTTCACTTATCATAATAGATTGAATTTTGTAGTTTTGAACTGATACATTGTTCTTTTGATTGACTGAGTGGCAATTTGGGAGCCATGCAGTTTGTTTTTCTTGTTTTTATTTTCTTATAATCCAAACCTGAAAAGGATTTGTTTTTTCTCTTCCGAGTGATTGTTTGGTTTTCCAAAGATTTAAATTTTCCAGAGATTGATTGTTTGGTTTTCCGAAGGTCAATCTCTTTAACCCAAGAAAATAATAATATTAAACTGAAAAACAACAAAAATGTTGTCTTGGGAAACTATTGTTTATTTACATGGCTTGGAAGTTGAAATTGTCAGAAACAAGAAGCTCACTTTCTCTGATGGTCATATTTCTTCATCAGGTTGACCATTGCCAAATAGAAGAGCTTAGCCACAAGACATCTCATAGCAATATCACGTCTTATTGTTGAAAAATTTGATTTTATGGTAGTGTTTGTAGGTTGAGTTATGACCCATGATTTATGCTCAGGCCCTTAAAATGGAGATATATAGTTAAGAAAAGTATAAAGGATTGGGGTGGCTTCAACATTTACCTTCAACTAATTTTCCCTTGTGTTTTTCCTTTTTGAATTCAGCTTTGTGGAAATTGTGGCTCCTGTTTTCTCGCGGGATGCTTGGCGATGTGTTTGGCATATGATTCAGGTTCCCTTCTCTAACTTTGTCATTTGTATACGTATGTTTTAAGCCTTGTTGTACCTCCAACTATTTTTGCTTTTAGCTGCTCTCATTAGCCTTGGTTCTTTCCAGCTTAGAGCTCACACTGATTTTTTACTTTCAATAACATTTCTAGAATGATTTGGTGCATGGTTGGGGATTGGATTTTGCGCTAAGGAGATGTGTGGAGGTCAGTGGTTTTATTTGTTTCTTATCACTGTATTATTTGAAAGATTTAGAAAAGAAGGCTTGTCTACCTGCTTTTCATATTCCTGTTGGAAGGAGAGATCTGCGGGACAGTGGCATGTAAAACAGATAAAATTGGAAAACATGTATTTATTTCAAATGGATGTCTGCGTATTATCAGTTTCATTGTAAGTGTATTTTGCCTGTGCAGCCTGCACATGAGAAAATTGATGTGGTTGACTCTCAGTGGATAGTTCATCAAGTTATTCCTTCTCTGGGAAGTCAGGTCAGTTAACTACTTTATTACAACCATCGGGACTTGTTTTTCCTTTTCCTAGAGGTGATTAAAATAATGAAGTTTAGTTGTTTGCAAATGTTGTTCTGTTCAACTTTAATTTCCATTTTTGAGCAAATGGTTCTTCATTTATAATATAAGCAACTTTTTAGCAGCAACCCCCTTATTTACATTTTTTTCTTCCACGTCAGTTATCCTACTTGTCCCTTGATCTGGTTTCCCCTCATTTAGATTTGTTTTGTTGATAATGATGCTAACAGCTTCAGCTTCGTTGATTCCAGGGTCAATCTGAAAATGGAAAAGCTCCTTGGCAAGGGGTATGTAAGCTGTTACTTGTTCGGTTTCCATTTCAACCTTTCTGTATATTTTTTTATTGAGGCCTTTTCTTTGTCCTTCGTTTTTTTTGCAAAAGTCAACTCTGAAAGCTTCTTCATCCAATTTTATGGTAATCTGAGTTATTCTATATCACCTACATTCTAACAATCATGTTTAAATTAGGATTCATAGGTCTTATATCTGCACTCTGTTTGAATTGCATGATTTTGCATTGAACTGAATTTCATTAGATTTGTCCAAACATCAAGTAACTAGCTTGAATTCTTTTCTATCTAATTTGGTAGGTAAGAGAGAGGTGCAGAAGTGAGTGGGTGCAGTTTCAAGATCGCCTAGCCAATGCAGATAAGAAATATATTGAACAGTTTGGGAGGACTTTGAATTAGCTAATTTCTGGTTATTACCTGTAACTTTCTTCATTTTCTTTTGTCCTTTTTCCATCTTTGTATCATTGTACGGAAGGGTGTTTTGGAGCCCAATTCTCTCACTCGATGTCTTTAAATTTTTTTTTTTTTTAGCTTCTAGCGGGCGGTAGCTGAACTTCCTGTAGTAGTGAAAACTAACGATCTGAAACTGGAAGAGAGTGATCCTTTTTTGTGTATAAATAGATTAGACTTTGCTTCATTTGACTCCCATATTGCCAATATTCATTTCCTTTTCTTTCTTTTTTCTTTTCCTTCTGTTTTTTTTCGCCCTTTTTTCCTTTTTCTATTTTCTTGAGGCGGGGAGGTGTGGGTGGGAATCCGTTGGTTGCCTCATACTGAACTCACCCGCTTACAGTTGTTATTTGGAGAACCATCCCCTGTTACCACTTTATTGAGCTTATTACCATCAGCAGTGGGATTATATGAGTTGGAGTACTTACCTACTTTCTGTTTAATATTTCACTATTAAGTTGCGAATTTGGAGACGGAATTTCTGTTATATGCCAAATTTCTAATATTCTGGGTATCTCTTTTGCAGGAACGAGGTATTTGAACAACAGAAAGTTTTGTATCCTTTTAAGTTTTCTTGCATTTGGGTATTGATACTACTCACCTTTATTGCTCTGACTCCTACTTCTTTGCACAAGTTCCCTTTGACCTGCAATGCTTCTTTACTTTTTTTTTCTCTTAACTTCTTGTAGCTCTGATTGGAAAAGAAATATAGAGACATTGGAGAAAAATAGTGTAACCAGTCTGAGGACATTGATCAATCTTGGTTCTGAAGTGTACATGCAAGCTGATGTTTATGTCTCTTCATACCATATCAATGTCATTTTACTTGGTTGTACATAGGATTAGTATACATTTGAAGTGTTTATCAAGATATGAAAGAATTCATTTCTCTTTTGTTTGAGGTGTGTGTGATTTATTATAACTCTATATGTTTGTGTCTGCCTATGCACTGAAAAAAAAAAGAAAGTATATGGTACCTTAGTTGTTCCAAGTATGTCTTCAGCTATGGTGAACAAAGTGTTGTAGGTTCTTTGGGCTACGAGCTTGGGTTTTGGTAGTCTCAGTACCAGATGGAATCATGTCAGATTGATATAGGGTGCAAGAGAAGTGTTCTTTACTTGATGTGATGGTGCTTACTGTAAACAAATATGAGAGATAATTGCAGAAACAAGGCAAAAACAATCAATTATGGGGACAGTTCAAAACTTTAACAGCTTACGAATAAGCGATCGAACCTGAATTTATCTTTCCTGATTTCCAATTTTCAACTCTAGATATTCCCCAGGCAATCATGACCTTCAAGCTTCTCATCATAACTATGCGTCTTTAGGAAACATCTGTTTTTTTGAACTTGATAAGTGGAGCCGATCCATGTATTCTTAAGGTAGCTATGTCAATGATTGAGTTGGAATGGAACAAACAAAAGAGAATGATTTATAATGTCAATGTATCTATGAATGATTTATAAGCCTATGTGCTTGATTTATCAACTCTAGATATATTGAGTGATTGAGTTGGATCTATTACAATTATCTATTGATTGAATACCTTGAGCTTTTTGCCAAAATCTGTCTCAAAACTGATTTTGATTTGTAGCTATGGTACATTTGCTACTTGAGGTTGTGATGGTTATGTTGATGTGTGGGATGGAAACAATAAAAAAAGGCTGTATCAGTTATTTTTCCTTAACTGAATTTGAAATGTCTTCCGCTCCATGACGACATTTGTCAGTTTTTTATCATACTTGTTATATTTGTCAAAACAAGGGTTCTTTTTTTTTTTTTTGTTTTTTGCCTCTGAATTTGAGATTATGATTTCTTTGTTATACTAACTTATTCTATTGTTCGTGGAAATTTATTACTTTAGCTCATTTTTCTGAAAGTGATCAATTGGAATGCTAAAGCAAGATGAATTGTATTAGAGATTTCTTTTTTGTTTCAGACTTTGACAAATGCTGTTTTATATCCTGTAAATGATGTTCTTCTGTGTTTGGTTCTTTCTGCGAGATGTTACTTTTGCTTCGGTGCGTTGTGTATAAAGGCATCTTCATAAGTTACTTGTGTGAGTGCTGTTTTGAATGATTACACTTATTCTTCTTGAATGATTTTGAATGCTTTTGACTGAATAAATAGTGTGTGCAGACTAGGAATTCATTGGTTATTTTGAATGATTTTGAATGCTTCTGATTTTTTGCTGCAGAATGCTGAACTGACTGCTCATGTGGCTAAGCAGTAAAGAGGAAGGAATCTGCTGTCCTATGTTAGGCATTGTCGTTTGATTATGAGTGCAGTTTCATTGGATGTTTTTTAGTTAATGTGTATTATGTAGTTATAGTTGTTAGAGGACTCAAGCACAGAAATTTTGTAATAGCTAGGTTGTTGCCATTTCAGTTTGTTGCCATTCTGTAATAGCTAGGTATGTATTGATCATATAATTTCTGAAGCATTCTTGATGGGAGAAAAAGACTTTGGGGTAAAGAATCAAGAAATCATATAGAGAACAAAGTTGAAATTAATGTAAGACGAGACCATACAGCTTTCCTAAGATTGATTCTTTATTTGGTTCATTATTTCTGAAATAAGTTCAATTCTTTGACCACCTTTTTTTTGCACATTACTTTTTCATTTTTTTGTGTTCATCCTAGATTAGATTAATAGTTTAAATATACTTTCCACAGTAATTAATTTATAATCAGTTCCACAATTTAGGTCTTGGTTTTCTTTTTATGACGTTTGTATAATAACCTATAAAAATATTGGGTATATCATAATTGTTAATGTGTCTAAAACAAAATGACTTCTTATATACAAAACAATTAATGTCATTCTTATATACAAAACAAGTAATGTCATTTTTAGTGTGAAGTGTCTTATTGAATTTCACTTTGTGTATTTCAAGCTTCTCTGGCCTCCAAAGACGAAAATTCGCTGAGAAGACGAGCAACAGCCATGATGAAATGATTGTTTTACTACCATTACTTCCTTACAAGGACTAAGGACAATTCATGAGGTCCTAGAATCCGGTATTTATTACTACCATTATATATATATTTTTTGCTTAGACGGTATTTATTATGGCTGATATGGTTTCTTTTGTTACTTTATAAACAAATCATGAAACCTCAGAATCAGTTCTCCATCGTATTGTCTCATCTATGAATCCATTCCTAAAACATGACTGGACTACATTCAATTGCTTCTATCAATTTTATCTATCAAAGTACAAGTACAAGCTGGTATAGTTTTGCATTCTCTAACCTTATTAACTCTCTTTCTTTTGTACATATGTGTATTTACTTATCACAATTTTTTTTCATACATTTATAGGATCTGCCAGAATTTGCGAATCTAAGGCTAAATGAAGATAGTACGACGACTATAACTCTTACAAATAGTCATAAATATTTTCATGTTGGTATGACCGGCAGATGTTTTGATCAAAACTGGAACCGTTTTGATCTAAAAAATTATTGCTTTTTATCCACAATGACTCCCTTTGCTGTGCTGGTGTTTCCAAGACCGCAAAGGAATAGAGAAGTTGTTTCTATGGCAGTTTGCATTTTCCATTTGATGGCACATCTGATTTACGCTGATTCTGCTTCAACGCAATGCACGGCATTTGTTGTATTTATGTTCTTAATGGAAAAAAGTTCTGGTTAGAAAAATGCTTCCAAAGCACTGCAAATTTAATGTTTAGCAAGTTCCTACTGTTGTAAACAACAATTGAAGCTTTCATAATGGATGTTCCAACGGCATTACTTATTAAACTTTGATGTTTAGCAATAAAGTTGATCCTACCTTTGGTTACAAAAAACAAATGGCTGGTATATATTAAATTTAGAAAAATGCTCCATTAAATTTGCATTAACAAAACTTCAGAGTTTGGAAGTTCCTATTAAAAATTTAGAAATTTAAATTTGCATTTCAGACTTTGGAAGTTTAGCAAAGTTTAGCAAATTTAGAAATTCAGGCTTTGGAAGTTCCAAAGCACTTTCATTAAATTTAGAAATTTAGCAACTTCCATGAAAGTTCGTAGCCAAGAAATATCAACAAACCTTCAGACTCATGGTATATATATACTAAAAAATGTACATTTCTAAATAAAATGTTATTTTTCTTACTTCAGAAATGGAATGGGCATTTTACATTACTATCGCGCGAAGCGCGTTATTGCCTCCTAGTACAAGATGAAAGAAGCAATGGCGTTGTGTCAACTTCCCACGGGAAACAAACACGTGTACACAGACGCACTCAACAAGCCACACGTAGAACCCCTGCTGGCCTGTTCCTGTTCCTGTTCCCGATGCCACCGCCAAGGTATTTACCCATGATGTCTCTCTTATTCAAGCCAAGGTGCCAAAATCCTATAAAAATGGTGCAAAATTCGCACTCCCTAACTCGAATTCATGATTCGATTCGCCAGTACCATACCATACGTACCATCGCAGAGGTCATCCGTTTCTATTACTAGTTCGTGCTCTCCAGTCCAATCAGTAAATTTCACTATTCACTCCTAAATACTTAAAAAGGTACTCTAGAAAACAGTCATGGCAGTTGGAGCTCCAATTCCAATATGTGTGCAGTGTGGCACGGCCGGCAACCCCTGTAGGTGCAAGGTGGTGGGTCCGACGCTCGGGTTCTTGGCATTTGCGGCCGCTGCGCTGGTGGAGTGGCCTGTCGGTGCTCTGGTTTATTGCTTTCGCCACATGAAGGGCCGCCGCATCATGGCTCATCCAGCCACCGTCGTTTTTCCTTCCGTCTCAAATTCCATCCCTATTTGAGATTTCGCGTCACGACGGTAGTGAGATATACTTAGTACATTGATCTTGTCACATACATGATACATGTGGGTGTTGTTGTTGACTTGTTGTCTTGTTCTGTTCTTATTTTTTTCACTAGTCTATTAGTTTCTTCACCATTGTTGTCTGTCTAACTCTTTCGTTTTCTTTTCTCCCCCTCCTCTTTTAATTTTCCTTTTATTTATGAATGAATGGTGCTATGATGTTTTTGTGATTGATCTACTGAGTAGTGTTTGTCTTGTCCTCGTTACCCTGACCTGATCAATCATTTCTCCAGTGGATTTCTTGGGGCTTAAAACAAGCAAATATGCTCCGGCTGGTGATCAGGATGCATAACCATTAATCCGTAGCTGGTGTATCAATATATCGGAACTTATCCAAAACAAAAGGTCGTCTGATAAGTTGTCCTTTCAGCAGAAATTTGAAGGTTTCGAGTTTCCAAACTAATAGTCTGCATCCTGTCTATTTTATCACAAGGAAACCTGCTTCAGCCAGAAAACCGTCGTGTCATTCTGTGTTGGTAAAAGTTTTCGTGTAAACTATTCTACTATGAATTTTCCTTGTTTGACTAGTATTAAAAAAATAAAGTGAAGGTAAAAAAAAAAAAAAAGCAAAATGAGCTTGCCATTTGTTGAAATTTTACCTTAGCCTACATAACCGCATGGTATCATGGAATAATCTCTCAACTCATACCCTATCTTCCCTTTACCGTCCCACAAACTGACAAACCAAAGTCTGTCTCACAAATTGACAAACAAAAGTCTGTCTCAATCTTTGGCGTGATTGAACTCTGGTCACTTATACCCGCAAGTTTGAACGAGCTTCTAACTTTGAAACGGATCTTGATTCATGGTCTGACCTAAGACTGCAAACAAGTCGAATCGAATTTTGCCCTTATCGAGTCGAATCTTGAATTAGTTTTATTAAACTCGAATTCGACGAGTTGATAATTTAAATCTCGAGTTCGAAAAAATAAAAAAAAATACTTTATTTTAAAAAAAATAATTAAAATAATTTTTTTTAATAAATAATAATATATTAAAAATGTATATGTAATTTTACTATTAAAATAAAAAATAATATATATATATATATATATATATATACTCGGCTCGCGAGCTAACGAACTTTATATTTTGAGTTCGAGTTTGACACGAGTTGAGTTTGAGTTTGACTCGAATTGTTCATGAGTAGTTCGGTTCGTTTACAGCATTACTCTGATCCGTTCGTTTACAACCTTACTCTGACCCTTGGCGATGAAACGGGGAAAGGAGAATCTGAATGAGGTCCTTGTTGTTTTGGACTTGGAGGATTAATCAATCACATTAAAAATCGTATTATTTATACCCTTTTTTTTCTTTTCTTTCTTTTTTTTCTTCTCTCACTCCTTAAATTGTATTGCATATCCTGCAATGACCGATGCCTAAATGGTAGGGGTGGGCGCGGGTCGGGTACCCGCCCTATTCACCATTTGGCTGACCCGACCCGCACATTGCGGGTTAGCCATTTTCTGACCCTTACCCGCCCCGCATATCAATGGGTACCCTATAACGGGTACCTGCTGAAATAGGGTCGGATTAGCGGGTACCCGCCCCGCCTCGTTTATCATTTAATTTTTAAAAAAAAAATAATTTATACCAATTTAATTTTATATTTTACACATTCATCTAAGATTTAATAATTTTTTTTTCCTAAAAAAAGGTTTCCCACCAAGAAACAAGCATATGAAGAGAATATAAGATAAAGGAAAAAAATTAAAAGAATTCAAAATCAATAAAAGTTTGAAATAAGTAGCACAATTTTTAATATATATGTTCCACATTAATTAAACTTTTTTCTATAAAAATAAGATCATGACCTTTACAAATGAATCTTGTAAATAAACTATAGTCTCTCATATTTGTAATGCAATTTGTTCAATAAAATTACTTATTTAGTTCTAACTTATTATTTTATAGTGTGTGTATAAAAATAAAAATAAAAAACATATATATGCGGGACGGATCGGGTACCCGCGGGTTTTTAATTATGTGACCCTAACCCGCCCCGCATCTTAGCGGATACCCGACCCTCTTTTGACCTGATTAAATACTAAAATCGGATATCCTAATTTTCGAATCGGATCAGATCGGATATGACGGATTTTCGGGTTAGCGGATAATTTTGCCACCCCTACTAAATGGTAAGCGGGAGTTGACGCTGACTAGAGGTCCACTTTTGGACTCCACTAGAGGTGAGGTGACTCGGTCAATTAATCAATCTTTTTACCCAAAGAGCAATCCATCGCATCACTGTTTTATTGAAGGACGAGATTGCCAAATCGCATCGTCAACACACAGACAATCAAACGGGTGAAACACGGTATTGTTGTTTATTTGACGCTTTAAAATCCCAAAATAAATAAATACAATAATAATTTAGACAGTTTTTTTTTTTTTTTTTTGGCTGTCGGAGTAGCTGTTCTGTAGTACCACTACTTCGTCAGCAGGTCCTCCCCAGTCCTCACCGATAACTACCTCACTTTTCTTGGATTACAATTCAGAGTTATCCTCTCTACACTTTCTTTTTTTTTTTTTTTTGGTTCGGTTCAAATTTTCAAAAGAAAAATAGTAGTGACATCTCATTTTGGAAGTCATTAAACTTCAAGTCTACCACGTCATTATACGAGGCTTAGTGGTGAGAAACAATAGCTAGTGTTCAGGCCTACTCTCTCCCTTTCTTGATCAACCCTGTTTCAATCTTTCATTCTCTCTTCATTTATATTTTCTACGTCTCGATTGATCATCCTTTGTCAGTCGGTTCTGCTGCAGCCATGGTCAGGACAATATTCCCCTTCCATAAACCGGCTTTTTTACCGCCATCGATCACCTTTCTCATCATGCCAATAGCAGTCTTGTGCATACTTTCTGTTGTTGCGCTGTTATGCGGCTCTGAGGCCAGAAAATCACGATGGCGCCGGGGTGAGAAAACGGTCCGATTGGGTGATAATAAGAAGCGAGTTGCGAGGCTCCAAAGCAACCTAAGCAGTAAAGCTCTTCTCTTGGCTAAGATGATTTCTTGGAGGAAAGTGCAGGACGAAGGACAAGAGGATGAAGATGGTGATGACGATGAAGAAGCTGTTTGGAGGAAGACCATCATTAAAGGAGAAAAGTGTCGTCCGTTAGATTTCTCGGGGAAGATTTTGTACGACTCCGATGGGAATTTGATTCCGGATTCTCCTCGGCCATCCAAATGATCACCGTCACCTTTTGTCTTGCCACCGCGCCTTTGATCAATCAATCTAACAATTTTGATTGGAACTTGGACATGCATGTAGTCTTGTTTCATGAACCGGCTGCGTCTGTCTTCTTTTTTTTCACCTTTTTTTTCCCCCTTCTTGGCGGTGGTTGTATTGGCGCAAACATGCGGATTGTAAAGAGAAATATATGTGGTAGAAACTAGAAATAAAATGGCTAGTTGATCTTGGCAACCTTTTGTTACCCTAATAGTTTCTTCGACTAGAAAGTAAAAGTTGCGCCCAATCCTTTTTACTGCAGAATAAAAGATTGTCATGACCCTCGAGGGACGATGCCAGGCTAACTGTGCCAAAGAATTTTCAAGCGTTCGCAGTTGTTATTTCCAGACTTTCGACCATATGTTGCGTTTATTTATTCCATGAAACCTATTGGAAGCAGCACGTTTCTAGTCTTGGGTCAAGGTTTACTTTTCGGGTTTTAGCCCAAAGGTCGAGCCCGAGCCCAAGTCCAACATCTGCAGTCTTTCGAGTCCAACATCTGGAAGATGTCTGTGACTTAGGCACAATTTGGAACTCGGGAAGGTGGCCTCTTCTCATTTTTGATTGTGGGATGTCAATTTTCAGCTCCAGTAAATTTTTTGAAAGAAAAAACAAAACAAAACAAAAAAGACAAAGATTGATTAATTGAGAATTGGTTTTGCACATAGCCAAAGGAAAAAGATTCGGCCAACGTTGACCGATTTTGATTTTCCTTTTCCTGTGAATCTAATCGAAGTTGTGCTTGGACAGAGATGGAGCTTTTCTCTGCTGAGTGCTGACTAACAAGGCTCTTACTGCCTACCAATATTTTGTCCTGCCCCTAAATCATTTTTCCGCTGTACCAAAAACGGAAATCACTACTTTCTGTGCCTTCTTTGACCAATTTCGAGGCCAAAATTCAGTGATTACACAATACATCCGCTTTTCTTTTTTGTATGAATTTGGTCATTTTTCACCTTGTCAGTGGCAGCTACCAAGCAAAAACTAGCTTGGTTCATTCAATGATCATTAAATCTCAATTTCTTTTTCTGTGTTTCGGGAGCTACTAGTCTAAAGATGTTTGCATAGAGCATCCATTTCAGAAAATGGGATAAAGATAAGATCTAAATGGTGATTTCACCAAAGATTTTAAATATGATAAAAACAACTGAACCACTCTGCTAATGCATTCAGTAGCAGAAAAAAAAATCATAAACAGCCTAGAAGGCCAGTCCCTCCGAAATGCAACGAGGGAAAAAAATGCACCCAAATATCAAAGAGAAAAGAGGAGGGGACAAACAAAAAACCGTAGGATATAGGCCTGCAAAATTGTAGGATGTAATCTGCCAAGCCGTAATTTGTCAAGACAATAGGTGGTAAATCTTCGAAGACTACAGTCCTTTTGCAATAGGAAGGCTCGAAGGTTTTTATCAAAACTACTGTCAAACAAGCTAACATATGTCTGAGCAAAACCAATGAAGAAGTAAACACAAATTTAAAGGATTTGCTCAAAACTTACCCAAAAACAAACTAACAACTTAATCCTTCATGTCTCGTGAATCTCTCTGTACACCAAGGCAACCAAACTTGGGTTTCTTCCATTAAACGGGGTAATGGAATTAGGACTACTCATTTCCTGATCAGAAAAAATTAATTCTTCATGCAAAGATCAACAATTCTTTCAGCAAGCTCTGTTTCATCTCTGCTTTCTCCTACCAACTTCTCTACTTGGGTTCTGGGCAGCCTCATCTTAACCTGAACAGGCCCTGCTGGATTTTGTCTCTGAACCGAAACATCAGAGCCTGATCTTCTTGACAACATCAGGCACTCGAGCCGGTCCTTAGCGTTCATGTGAACAGCAGACCTTGCTCTCCTTGGCGCTCTTTCTTCGGGCAGCTTTGGCAATTCCACAAGAAAATATATCTTCTTGGGCTTCAACTCTTCTCGAGGCTCCAATGGCTTTGCTCTGATCCCATGTCGCTTTACTGCTTCTGATTCCAACAAAACATGACCCGGGTAGTCCTTAACCACATCAAAAGCTAATACAGGTGTTTTCAGTTTGAAGGTTTCACCGGAAATCTTCATTACCTTTGCCTTCTTTCTTCCTCCTGCTCCTGTAATATTGTTGCCCATTTCTCTTAAAATTTATGAACCAATGAATCTCACTAAATAATTATCCCACGCAGAGTTAAATAATGTACTCCGGGGGGTAGTTACATTACGTATATGGTGATGATGGATTAAGAAGATGTGAATATGTGCAACTTTATTAAAGATTCCGTCCCACTTAACCGTAATGATTTTGATTATGAAGTGGGAAACAAAAATTCCATTTGGACCAAAGCAAACTACTTGTATGCTGTCACCTTTGATATGTTTCCCTTATCTAACAAATTAGTGGCCGCCTATACTCGGGAGGCGTGATCAATTCTCCTTTGGAAATTGGATGTAAAGTGCTAAAAATTGGGGGCCTGTGGGGCCTGTCTGTCCTTCAAAAAGAGGTGCAGTTAACTATAAATAAATTAATGAAGGGAAATGTACGGTGAATCCTCTTTTTCTAGGTCGTTGTTTGGGTCATTTCCTTGAGCTTTTTATACTCTTTTTTCGAAACTAATTATGAATCCAGATATTAGAGCATACAAGTAGATATTGAATTACGCATCTTTCGATCATAAATGAAATCAAGTCAGATCAAAGATGGTTGAGAACTTGAGATACTCGAGATTTGGTTGTAATATTCTTGGGAAAACTCGAGAAATATGGTTCATTCCATTTGGTTGGTTGTAGTAAAATTTTTTGGCATTCATCCAGTGCTTGAATTTCCTTCTAAGCCTTTTGCGTTTCGGTTTAAACAAAAGTGGAGATTTTCAAGAAGAAACCTTCGATGGACTTGTCCTTAGTTTTCCTATACTTCTCTATGCATCATTCTTGCCAATTTTAACTTAAAAGGCAGATATCGTGGCCAAATTGGATAACGAGAAATTGCTACAAAAACTTCTTAAAGGTATACAAGAGGTGGCAGCAGCATTTACCTAATTAGTCCCAATTGGATCCAAATTTCTAGATGGTAATGCAAATGAACGCGTCCACTAGCTCAGAATCGTAAAATGACTTGCAACCACCATACCAATGACTCATTCCCAATCACATAATTGCAGTCCTGAATGCAATCATCTAGTAAATGCAAAGATAAAGTTATATCCTGCCTGCCTCCCTTCGCATTTTATTTCAACAGCCAATGGGAACTGCATCGTTTTGCAAGGGAAAAAAAAAAAAAAAAGACCACATCATGCTGTGACCAAAGAAGTTCCATTTACAAAGAGAAAAGACCAATACTTTCAGCAGTTTCATCCCAAAGAAGTGATTGACGCGAACGAATTGACCAATGCAGCATCTCATTCGAGCAACAGCAACAAGAACATGGAGGCAAAATTTCCTACAGAAATTCAGAGGGTGAATTAGCATCTGGTTTCACGCCTTCACCCAAGCCCCCAGGATGCTGCAAATTCTGCAAAACTTGAGGGTGCAAAGTTCCCAAACCACCACCCAATGCATCGCTGGCAGACCCAAGAAACTGGCACATGAGCCTAGCAATGACTCCTAACATTTGCAATTGATTCTGGCAAGAATCAGCATGCATTTGAATCATCTGCTTCTCGTGTTCAAGCTGCATTCCCACCATCTTCTCCTTCCACTCCATTTTCTCTTCCTCCCACCTCTCCTCCAACCTCATCCTGCTCCGCCTCTCCTCATCAATTTCTCTTTCCAACCTGACCCTTCTTTCCAATTCGCGCCTTGCCCACATCATTTGCCTCTCTTCCAACTCCAATTCCCTCATCTCCATATCTTCATCCCTTTTTAAATTCCTCCTCTCCCACACCAATTCCTTCTCCTTTTTGTTTTGCTCCCGCTCAATCAATTCCTCCTCTCTGGTCCACTCCCTCTCCCTCCTCTTCTCTTCCCTTCTCAACACCACATCCCTCAACTCCACCACCTGAGCACCCACCATCCTAAACCTTTTTCCATCAAAACCCTTCTTCCATTTCCTCCGATGGTCGAAACCCGAATCCTCGATTTCGTTTCTCTCCCCTCTCTCAGCCCCCAATTCGCCATCGCTAATCCCAACCCCCACCACATCTTCCCCATCCTCCTCTTCTTCCTCCTCATCCATCTCCTCACTGTCAATCCCAAAATTCAATCCCATTCCACCCTCTTCCTCGAAAAACTCCGCTACGCCTCCAGCAGATGAAGCTTCCTGCATTGGATCACTCCTCTTATTGCAATTATTTTGACTATTACCGTTACCCTTTACTTCTAATTCAACATCCCCGAAAACTTCCTTATACTTCAAGAAGTTTTCCCAGTGATTTTCGCCGTCGTCCCAATTGAACTCGCTGTCCGAGATCCTAATCTTCTGTTTGACGCCCAAGTACTGGTGCCGCATGTTCTGGACCTTAATGGAGACATCACGCCAAGTCCACTTGAATGGGAAGTTGCTGGTGTCCCGGAGATGATGGATGGAGTTGACGTGGTCTGCAATGGGCTTGAACTTCTTTTCTCTGGTCTTGAGCTTGGCTAAGGTGCCGGAATTGAGCAGGTCAGAGTATTTGGTAAGGAGGGTTTGCTCTTCCAGCTCCGACCACTTCTTCCGCTTCATCATGGGGAGGATTCGGGGTTTGCCCTAAAAACAAAATCCGGGATTGGAATAATATAATATCAGATGTCGGAAGCTCGGAATTGAGGTGACGTGGGTTTCGGGTGGTGGAGACTTGCACAACCTCAGCCTTTCGACAACTGCACTATGGTCCTAGATTTAGGGTAAAGAATCCGAAACAGATGTCGGATGTGCCTTTTTTTTTTTTTTCCCCCCTTCTCTCTCCCTCTCTCTCCTTATGTGGTCCCTTGTAGATGCTCATTCGTTCAACAGTAGTCTCATAAGATAAGACCGGGCTTTTTGCCTCAGGCCCTTGCTTAAGTTGCCCTGAGCATGCAACAGCCCAAGCGTGCGGTTTGTGCATTTTGCATTTGATACTAAAAATTTGCTAATAATCTCACATTCATTCCAACCTTGTTTAGGCAGGCATCCATGTACATTGCTATCGGTGACTTTCTTTTGTATTTTTAAGCTTAAGAAAAACTTTCATATTTCTCTTATTTCTTTTTTTCAAAGTCTATATGCATTTTAAAGAAACCATAATATCAATGTGACAATTAGTGTTTCAAGTATGAATTTTAAGATGTTAATTATTTTTTTAACTTGGTTATGTCATAGTCAGTTAAGCGTATTATATCCTGAAAATTTAAAATATGTTGTTTCTTTTTCTTTTAGCAAATTTATAATGTTTTTTTATACTATAATGATACGCAGCTTTAACTTAGTTGAAAAGGTGAAGAATGATAATCTCTGTGGGTTCAAGTTATGAAAAAAGAAAATATTATGCAATGAATATTAAAGTTTAGCATGTTTTGCAAAGTATCATGGGATGAGCAAACACGTTCCATGTGTATAAAACTGTAAAATAGTGTATATAAGCATGTTTACAAGCGCTAAAAAACCTTGGTTTAGTGGTTAAGATAGAGGTTTTAAGATTTAGAGTTCTCGAGTTTTCTCCTATTCACTGCTAAAAAAACTAAAAAAGTTACGTAGCCTACGTCTTAAACTCTATACCTCCCCTAATTCCTACTAAAAATAAAAAAAAAAGCTATGTGGCCTACTTCTTAAACTCAATTCCTCCCCTAATCCCTTCTAGAAAAATAAAAAATTTTATGTAGATTATCAAACTGTTAATAATAAAATAATCTAATTTAATATTTAAAATATAATCCCTGCTAGAAAATTTAAAAAAGTTATGTGGATTGTCAGATTGTTATAATAAAATAATTAAATTTAATATTTCAAATATTCATCATATTCTTGACTTCTTATTTTCTAATGAATTAAAAAATTATTTAAAAAATTTTGCATTAGGTAACTTTTTATAGAAAATTTTGAAAAATTACAATAGATTTTGACTTTTTATCTTTGTTTTGATAAATTCAATCAAGTGCATAATATGTAAACACGAGAACGAACACAAGCAAGCATATTTTTAATTATATATGCAAGAGTTCTAAAAAGAGTTGTTACTACGATTGTTGAAAATTAAATGTTAGAGAAAAATAGGCCTATATCTTTCAAGCATAATCACCAATTTAGATAAGAATTAATGTTTATATAATTTTTGGGTATTTAGTGGGTCATTTTGCTTATTACTAATGCAATTAAACCTATGAAATTTTGCTTATTACTTATAATTTTCCATAAGTTTAATTGCAATTTTAATTTTTCTATGCAATTAAAGTTGTTACTATTTTTAAGCTCACGTTCGACCTTTATCTGAGGTATTGAACTTTACTTCAGAAAAAGAAAAGGTAAAAAAGAAAACAAAGAAGCAAGGGAGGGAGTTAGATACACTGCAATGCCCAAGGTATGGACGTTAAATGTAGGAATGCACGCCTATTCTACATACTATCAGTACTACCGTAGTTGGATTGGATTGCATGTTATTTGAAATATTTTTACTGTAATAATTTTTGTGATGTGATATATGTGAAATAAAAAGATAATTAAAAAAATAAAAAAATATATTAAAAATTATAATGATGATATAAACAAACATATTTGGACAAATAACGTACAATCCAAACACACTTGCTTGAGGAGTAAAACTGGTAGAAAATCCTTACTTCTTTTTTTTTTCATTTATCTGGTCAATAAGAATTTCCTTTTTTTGCAAAAAAACAAAAATAAAGGTCCCTTCAACTCGATATCTCCTCCGAGGGCGGATATGAAACTCGAGTCCAGGAGCACCTTACGTGGCGCCACGTGAATGGCTCCAATTAAAACTTCCAAACTTGTGGCGTCATCGGCGAAACTTCACCCTAATTACAGCGGAACCCCGATTCCAACCGACGTCGTAAGCAATTGCGTAGATTGTAATCAGGCTCCCCCCATGTCCCCACCTCAAATGACCAAATTGCCCTCGTTCACGTTTTACCAACCACTACGGGTCTCCCAGACGATAGCTTACCCAACAATTTCCGCAAATCCTAGTTCAAAGCTCAATACTCAACATTTTGCTGATCTGCTAGATATAAATATTACCTGAAAGAGTTGGAAAAGTAGATTGATCAATGCATTATCTAGACGAGAAGCTAAGTTTCAGTGGCATATGATAAAGGCAAATACCTTTTATCTCCCTGGATCGGAGCCATTTCCAAACTTCTTTAGTTGCAGGTGAACTTTTGTTTCCCGAAGAAATTGACTTTTTTTTTCTTCCCCTTCTGAATTCAAGCTTTTGTATCTTTGATGGTTTTGGGATTAAATTTGTAGGTTAAGGAGCTTCAGGATTTCGGCAATGGCGCCGCCGGTGCTTGCATTGGCTCTACCGTCTGAAACTGGCAGAGTCCTTAGTATACAGTCTCACACGGTTCAGGTATATTATCATCATTGCTTTGACTCTGATTATTCATGCTCAAAATTAAATTAATCTTCCCAAATTATATATGTTCTTTGTACAAATTTTGCATGTCAGAGGCATGAAATCCTTGTTCCTGTTTTTTTTCCGTTTAGAATGGAAAGGTTTTGGAAATTCTATCTGGGTTCTGCATTAACTGGTCATTCTACTCATGACATATATGTAAACGACGATGGTGATACTACAGAGACCAAGTTAAAGGGAAAAAAAAAAAAAACTGAACTCTAAATTTATGCATCGGGTGTAACATAATTGAAAGTGCAGCAAGCCAACTGGATGTAGTGGTTGCATAATCTGACGTGGAACAGCCGTTACTCCCTATATTTCATTGGTAAAACTGTTGAAGTCCTATCCTTGGAATATTTTTAGTTCAAACTTTCTAAAGCAATTGTTTTGTACCAAGTGAACTTGTCATGATTCAGCAAAGATATGTACTTTAAAGCAGTAGTTGTGGCCCATGAGACTGTACCTCTTTTCATCTTGGTATTAGTTTGTGCTGCTCATATAATGTGAGACTGGTGCGTGGGTGATTTATAGTACTTTTTTGGCTCAGGGGTATGTAGGCAACAAATCAGCCGTATTTGCTCTCCAACTATTGGGCTATGATGTGGACCCCATCAATTCCGTGCAGTTCTCGAATCACACAGGCAAGCTGCTTCTATCCACTTCATTGTCAGTCTGAGCCCTGAATTATGGTGAAAGGTCATTTCTGAATCTGTAAAGTTCAGGCATAAATGATCTAGAGCTGCATTTAGATTTTTGTTTGATGAACTTGAGGATTATGCAGGATACCCAACTTTTAAGGGGCAGGTTTTAAATGGAGATCAACTATGGGACTTAATAGAAGGTCTTGAAGCCAATGATTTGTTATACTATACACATTTATTGACAGGTATATAAGAGCACCAAATTTTGTTGCTGATCTGTTGTGTTGCTAAACCTTCAGGATTCTGATCCATTTCCTTAGCTACATTGATGTCTTTTCTGCTGAAACCTATGAACCTTTAAATCTGCTCTTTTAATTAGTTTGATTGCGTACTTTCAATCACAAAGAAAGTTTGTGGTAAGAGTTAACATAATAATGTTAATTGACCGTTTAAGAAAATGCTATTTTATTACTGTTTTGTGGATAGTAGACAAAAAACATTCGTCCATGTTTGTGCTTCTCTTTGCTATAAGAATTCACTTTTAATCTGTTTGTGTGCTGATTTTGGCTGTATATCGTAGGTTATATTGGTTCTGTCTCATTCCTGAACACTGTGCTTAAAGTTGTCGATAAGCTCCGGGCAATCAACCCCGGACTTACATATGGTAAGTCAAATGCTGCTGCTTCTTCTTCTTTTCTCTCTGTTCATATACTGGTTATGCTATTATATTCTCCTGGTTTGAGGCCAGACAATTAGGTTATTTTAGCCTTTAAAAAGCAGTATAACTGATATGTCATGCTTGCTCTTGTGATGGGGTGGATGAAGAGGGTGGCTTCTTTAGATTATCTATTCTTTCACTAGCGTATACAATTTGCTATAAGTGGAATCTTCTGTCAGTCTGTGATCCAGTGATGGGTGATGAAGGAAAGCTTTATGTCCCTCAAGAGCTGGTCTCAGTGTATCGTGAGAAGGTAGCTTTATATTCTCTTCATTCAAAATTATATATGAGCACGTTACATTCAAGGGCTATAGCAGGTTATATAGAGTAAATGTTGTCTTCACTACTGACTGCCCAAACTTCTGCTAACGGCACAACCACAGCTTTTGGTCAGAAATAAATAAGCAGTTTGATGTAGAAAACAAGAAAGCCTTGAAAATTTCAGGTTGTATTGCGCAATTATATGTATGATAGTCTAGTTACAAATCAAAATTTTGTATCAACAACATGGAGTTGAAGTTTAACTACTCTTAAGACAAGATCATTTTAGGAGTCTTTTACATTTGTGACTGACAGAAAAAACCTAGTATAGTTCCCAATTTACCTTCCCTGGAATATTTCATCTAAAATAGTTGCCTACTGGTCTCACTTTCTTACATTATTTTTGCGACTTTAGTTAGTGAAATCTTTCATTGGGCTTTAATATTTTGTAAGCTCCATTTGCTTAGGTTGTTCCTGTTGCTTCAATGTTGACACCTAATCAGTTTGAAGCAGAACTTTTGACTGGCATCAGGTAATCATCGCATCTAATTGATACTTAAGGCATGCACTCTGATTTAATTTTCTACTTGTAATTGTTGCAATATCCCTTACACTCCCTAAGCACACTTCGGTTATCACAGGATTGTATCCGAACAAGATGGACGTGAAGCTTGTAATAGACTACACGCTGCTGGACCCCCAAAGGTTTACATAGCTTTAACTTAGAGAATTAAATCTAGATCTTTGTTAAAACTTGTGTACACAGGCTACATAGTTGTGTTGCTTTTTATTAACATCCAATTTAGTAGCTTTGTTTCGGAGAATGCTCAAAGGATAAAGAATATGATTTTACAGCTTGCTACTTTCCTGAGATGATAATTTGGAGAAGAAACTTCTTCCATTATTTGCTTTATAGAAACTGAAAAAAAGCTTCTTTTTTTTTTTTTTTTAAATCTTTCCAACTGAATGGATTAGTTGGAGCAGGTAAGCACTTTCTTTTTGAATTGTTCAATCCTAGTAATGCCTGAGCAGTACTTCATATTCTGTTGTAATGCATATTTCTTTCCCCTGATTTTTCTCTTTTCAACAAACATTGGATGTGTTTGGATTGTAAGAGTTTCAAATAAAAATTTCAAATTTTGTTTTGCTTGCATCATACACACAATTTCCAACCACCTTTTTATTGTGCATACATCATATCGCAAAAATGCTACAGTAATTATTTCAAATAGCTTCCTATCTAAACAAACTCATTATCTTTTACAAAATTTGATAAGAGTTAGCGACACACACTCTTTTCTCTGTTTTATTGTATGTCTATTTGAAATTGTGTGAATTTATCAGTTTATAGATATTCATCAAGAGTGTTGTATGTCTCTATGCATGTACACAACCACCCACAGGGACACATTTATTGATGCATATGTAGTCAGTTACCCACTGTAGAGCTTTTGTCTATTGCCTTTCATATGCTACCCTTTCCTTTGACCATTTCTTCCTGCTTTTATTGTGTTTGGGAGGGGTAATTTTTTGTAATTGGAAATCACTAGCTATGCTTTGTGGAAACTCATAAGAAATAACTGACTTTTTGATCAGTTAAAACACAATCCACATACAATGAAGTTACAAATCAATCTGACATGCATGTATTTTCGTGTTAAAAAAATATATATTTTACCACTCAAGATCTGTATAAGATTATGTCATAATCTTTTGTGCAAAATTCTATAACATTCAAGCTCTTGGCCTGTATCAGGTTGTGATAACAAGCATGAACATGAATGGGAATCTTATTCTTATTGGCAGTCATAGAAAAGAGAAGGTGAGGACGGACTTTTTTATGATGATATATACAAGGTTTATAGCTCTGTGCCAGTCGATGCTATAGTGATTTAGGATGAGAACCTGGTTAATTTCTCTTGTTTATTCGATTTGCTATTTCTCATTCATTATGGACCTTGATGGAAAATATGAATGTAGAGAGCTGGAAGTTTATCTTTTCTCCATATTTCTTGGTGTCATCCTTTGGATGATTTTTTCCTTCACTGGGAATTTTATGTGGCGGTTCAGAGTAAGATCAGTATGCACTTATTCTTATTTGCTTGGCACTTGATTGTGATAGGCCCTGCCTCCTGAGCAGTTCAAGATTGCGATACCCAAAATTCCTGCATATTTCACGGTATGCATCAGTTTCTTGTTAATCTATCTTTTGACAGGTTTATCCATGAAGTGCTTGAGTTGCTCAAAAAGTTGTTATGGATGAGGCTACAACCCATAATTTCTTGATGAATATGAATACTAAAACTGAGAATAAGGTGTAACTGAATATGATTTTTGATCTAATTGATCTACGTAAAGGTATAAGGAAATAACAGTACTCATCTGATCACAACAGAGTTGTTTCATTGCAGAAAGAACTCAAACTCACGGTAACCATTCACACTTGGAAAGCCAGTTTGCGAAGTCGCTAGCAGATTTAACTATAAGACATTGGAAACTGTAGGTAGACGGGTCTGAGAAAGACCATAAATTCAAAGTTGGTTCGAGAAACCTTAATATATCCCCATTTTCAATGAATGGGATACAAATCTTTAGACATGGTCTATGCTAGATTGTGCTGGAACTATATTCTGAACCGTAATGCTGATTTGTTCATGTTTGTTTGTTTGGTCTGAACTCTGTGTTAATAAACACATTTAATGTTTTTGAGCTCCTGGGTGATGTGGACAAATTTGAGATGTCACGGCATTTGTGAATTTGTTTTCTTCAACCTTAAGTTGGATTTAGAGCTCTCTCGTTTTCATTATGTAATCGTTTTCTTGCAGGGAACTGGAGATCTAATGACTGCATTGTTACTTGGATGGAGCAATGTAATATTTAGTTAACTAAATCGAATCCTTTACCGTATGTCTTCCATAATTGTTTGTTTCTGATTTTAACTTGTTTTATATTATTAGAGGTACCCTGACAATCTTGAGAAAGCAGCAGAGTTGGCTGTATCAAGCTTACAGGTATCAATCTAGGTGCTACCTTTTGCATTTTAATAATTTGGTGGTATATGAACTGCTGATGCTCCGTAACACAAGCGAAAACACCCCAAGCTGGATAAATAAATAATCATGTCAGCCTTGAACAATACTAATCTAAATTGTAGAAAGGCATTTTTCCTTGGATACTTTATTTTTGCAACTTGATTATTAGGTTATTGTTTTATCTTTCTACAGGCACTTCTTGTGAGAACATTAAATGATTATCGAAGGGCTGGATATGATTGCCAATCAAGCAGTTTGGAGATTCGGTTAATTCAGAGTCAAGATGACATTCGGAACCCAGAAGCCAAATACAAGGCAGAAAGATACAGTTGAATGGATGTAAGAATCGAGCTCTGACCATTCTGATGGATACAGGAGCTAACGATACCATGTCATTGCAGTTAAAAAAAAAATTTGTAAGCTTGATATATCACAGAAGGAAGGCTTGCCAAACTTGAATGGCTTATGCCAACACAAAAATAAATGAAGCGTCTAAAAGATCTTCTGGAAATAAACAAGATGGAACATTACCTGTCAATGTGAACAACTCGAGAACATGGAATCTTCTTCTTTTGATTGTCTAAATGAGTTTCCAGCGGGATCTCTGACTGGGTTTTGTGGCTAACCTTATGCGAACATGAATACGTTAACTTATGGGGGAAGACCGAAAGATGATATGCTTGAGTAAGTCGAAACGATTGGTGATGAAGAAATCATAGGTAGGGTAGCTTTCAGGAGATTAATGAATGACCTTCTCTCCTTTCGCTTTGAAAGCACTCTTCGATACTACATTCCAAACAATGTGCATCTTATGATTCTATTTTAAAACTGAGAAACTTCAGATTGCGAGCCCATTTTTGTCAATGGAATAGCTAAATTCCAAAGTCTTCGCGTTCGCCTGAAAAACTGTCCAACAATGCAGTTGCAGGCCCGATTATCCGGGAGTCTGGATCATTTGCTGAAATGACACTTGTGCGGAGCATGCTATTTGCTGCATGAGCGAGAATGGGCCTGAATCATGTTTTCCTAAGAAGGCCATCAATTTCGGTTTGGTCCCATAGTCGGTGCAAACCTTATCTGCTAGCTGGATGGATCGCATTTGGAAGCCAAGTTTTTAAGCAAGTTTTTTACCTATTAATTTTTTAACAACTTTTTTTACAAAACTCCAAAAAACTTTTTTAAGTTTTTTACTTACACACTTCAAAATACATAAAACACAAAAAAAAAAAAATTTCCTTCCATTTTTTTTCTTCTTCCTCCCCCATTCCAACCCACCACCACCTCCGTCACCGACCACCATCTCCGGCGCTGTTTCCTTTTTTTTTTTGCCTTTCTACCTCTCCCCGCCATCTTCCCCTGCCATCCTCTCACTTTACCCAGTTTGTATGATCCCCAAAACACACAAAAAAAATTCCCTTCCCCACTCCTCCCTCATCACCCTTCCCCTTCCCCTCTAGCCAATTTGGCAGTGAGGCTAGATCGCACCGGGGAAGGGGATTTTTCCACGCACCAGATTGCGGGGAAGGGGAGGAGAAGGGAATGCTGAAAATTGCAAAAAACAAAAAAATTTGACTGGCTCATAGAGGAGGTGCACGTTGACTGCCGAGCGAGGGAAGAGAGAGGGGGAAGGGCAAAGGGGAGGAGAAGGGGAAAGGGAGAAGAGGGGTGGCGGGAGGTGGCATTGAAGGAGGTGTTGGTGGTAGAGCTGATGGTGGTGCTAGAGTTGGAGGAGGTGCAGGTAGTGGTGGTGCTGCTGGTGGTGGCGTTGGAGGAAGTGCTGGTGGAGGAGCAGGTGGAGGTGCTGCTGGAGGAGCAGGTGGTGGTGCAAGAGGTGGAGCTGGTAGTGGAGTTGGGGGTGGAGCAGGCAGGAGAGTAGGAGGAGAGGCTAGTGGAGGCATTGGTGGTGGTGCCAAAAGTGGAACAGGTGGAGGCGTGGGAGGAGAGGCTGGAGGAGGCCTTGGCGGAGGTGCTGGAGGTGGGGCCGGTGGCGGAGTAAGGGGTGGAGCAGGCTGCGTTGCTGTTGGAAGGCAGAGGAAACGGGGAAGGGGAGAGAGAAGGAAGAAGAAGAAGAAAAATAGAGGAAAGAAAAGAAAAAGGAAAGAAAGAAAGAGAAAGAGAAAAAGAAAAAAAAAATTTCACCTTGCAAAAACTTTTACAAAAAAGTTTTTCACCTTACAAAAAATTTCTATAAAATTTTTTCAAAAATTTCTACAGTACTCTACAGTAAAATTTTAGACAAACTCCCAAAATACTCAAGTTCCAAACAAACCCTATTTATTTGCCCTGCTACCCATATTTAATATGCACCATCTAAGTATTGCTCTTGCCCTTTTTTTTAAAAAATTTTGTTGGTCAAGTAATATTTAACTTTTGGAATCCATTACACTAAGAGTAAATCTTTCCTATACTGACAGTGCATACACTATCAGTGTTAGATTTGTGCAAAAGTTGAATTTCACTAATCCACTTTCTTAACCTATAGAAAATGAGAAGTTCTATCGTTCTTTTGAGTACCATAATGATAAAACTTTTTTTTTTAAGAACATCTTGATAAATATCAATTCTTTGTTAGATGCGTAAAAAAAGATATAAACTCTAAAAAACGATTTTAAGAGTTTGAATTGTGGCAAAATATAATATTCAAAAGAGATAGTAAAATTTTTCATAGAAAAAGAACGTATTTCAAGGACATGAATGGCAACTTGAGTTTTTACTCAAGTTTGTTTTATACTAGTTTTATACCAACTTTAGTTACAGTAATCTAAAAAAAATTTTGAGAAATTTTTTACTTACACACTTCAAAATACCCAAAACACACAAAAAAATTTTCTTCTCCTTTTCTTCTTCTTCCTTCCCCGCCCCAACCCACCATCACCTCCGTCGCCGATTCCGGCGCCAATCACCTCTTCCGGTGGGTTTTTTTTTTTTTTTTTTTTCCTTTTTCCCTCTCCCCCTCTTCCTCCCCCACAGTCATCCCCCTTTGCCTGATTTGATCCTCCCCTTTGTTTTTTCTCCCACTCTCTCTCTCCCACCACCCTCCCCCTTCCCCTATTCATCTCGAGCCGAATTGCCAATGAAGTAGCAAAAGAAAAATTTTTTTTTTGCGCTTTTTCCCTCCCTATCTCCTGCCCGCCACCCCTTTTCTGCCTTTCCCTCTCCCTCTCCCTATCCCCCTCCCCCATCACCTTTCCTCTTCCCCTCTAGCCGATCTGGAAAAAGGAAAAGGAGCAAAAATAAAATGGCGGCAATCGCTAATTGGCTCAAGTGATTCTTGTTGTTGTTGCAGGCGTAAGGTAGGAACCTTATTCGACCGGATTTCCGTAGCTTTTTTTCGGCTTCTGCTTTCTGTCCCGAATGGATAAGTAGTGGGTTTGTAACTTGCTATTGCTATAGAATTGGAAGAAACAAAGCTTGGAAAGCGTTGGGGGATTAGCGATGCACGTAATCCTCTCCAAACTGGCACCAAACGACGCCTCATCAATCATGTGCGTGAGTCGACGGTTTCGGACATTGGCTTCCGACGACGATTCCTTTTGGTCCAAATTTTGTTCCGATGACATTCAGCTCAATTCGCCACCTGACTCCGTCGGCAACCCCACTGCTACCTTCAAGGTATAAATTTTTGTCCAAATTGGGCAAGGAGAGGGAATAGGAGAGGAAAGGGGGAGGGGGAAGGGGAAGGGAGGAAAGAAAATAAAAAAGAAAGAAAGAAAGAAAAATAAAAAAGAAAAAGAAAGAAAGAAAATGAAAAGGAAAAGGGAAAAAAAGTTTTTCATCTTACAAAAGTTTTTTTTCAATTTCTACAGTAATCTACAGTAAATTTTTAGACAAATTTTCAAAAAATTAAAGTTCCAAACAGGGCCTATATAGGGGGAGAGGGAGAGGGAGAAAGGGAAAAAAAATGTCAAGGTCGGAATAGGTGATCGACGCTGGAAGTAGCGGCGGAAGTGGCGGCTGGCGATGAAGGTGTGGTGGATTGGGGTGGGGGAGAAAGAAGAAAAAAAGAGAAAGTTTTTTGTATATTAGATATTTTAAAGGGTGTAGATTAAAAAATTTGATAAATTTTTTTGGGTTCTATAGTTAAAGTTATTAAAAAAACTAGTAACTAACAAATTTGATAAAAAACTCAGATCCAAACATGCCCTATTTTGCTTTACCGTTTTGACCTAGGAAATAAGTCAAGTCGACTCCCGAGTTACATAACAACTCGACTCGTCAAGCTCGATTAAATTCTGATTCTCTGGACTCAACCAACAACCAGAAGGCGCAACATTAAAACAAGAGCGTCTAACAATGTGAGCTTGCCTTTACTTGAAATGCCATCCTGTTTGGAAGTCAGGTTTTTGGACAAGTTTTTTACTTATTAGTTTTTTAACAATTTTTGTTACAGGATCCCCAAAAAATTTCGCAAAATTTTTTACCTACACATTTCAAAATATCAAAAACAAAAAAAAAAAAAATTCCCTTCCCTTTTTTTCTTCTTCCACCTCCATCCCAACCAACCACCACCGTCGTTTCCTTCCCCATCCTGCGTAGATGCGTCTGGCTTCATGAACTTGGTCCAACGTCTCACCGGCCGTTCTCCTCGTCCAAGCAACACCCCAACTGTCGCAGGCGACCTCTCTCCGACAGCCCGTTTAGCTTTGGTGGAGAAAGCTAGCCCGTCGGAAAGGGAAAGAGAGAGACAGCAATGAGTTGGTTCTAATTTTGCTGAAGATTTGATGGAAATTCTTGAAAGAACTAGTTTTGAAATGAGTCAAAATTTGGGGATACTATCGCCGGCGCCGAGGACTCTGCCCCCCGTTTCGCTTCTAAGACTCTTCTCGCCGGCACCGGATCCATTTTTGAACGGGAAAAGCGCTCTGGTGGAACAGGGGAGGGGGTGGCGGGGGAGGGAGTGAGAGGGGTGGCGGGTCAAAGGGGATGGCGGACAGAGGAGGAAGGAAATGGATGGTGGGCAGAGGGCAGTGGCGGGGGAAAGGCAGAGGGGAAGAGAAGGGAAAAGGGAGAAGAGGGGTGACGGGAGGTGCCATTGGTGGAGTTGCTGCTGGGAGGCAGAGGTAACGGGGAAGGGGGAAGGGAAAGGAAGAAGAAGAAGAAGAAGAAGAAGAGAGGAAAGAAAAGAAAAAGGAAAGAGAAAGAGAAAGAGAAAGAGAAAAAGAAAGAAAAAAGAGAAAAGGAAAAAAAGTTTTTCATCTTACAAAAATTTTTACAAAATTTTTTCAAAAACTTCTACAATGTTCTATAGTAAAGTTTTAGATAAACTCCAAAAAAATTCAGGTTCCAAACAGGTCCATAATACAGAAAAAAGACGGAAAAAAGTGTGAATTAAAAATTGGCGGCAGTATATAAACTGGGGGTTGCATGAGAGCTAGAAATTTCTGGACTCTTGCCAGAGTAATAGTACATGAGTAGCATCTCGAACATCCCCAAGCAGAAGATAAAAATCATGTTCCCAGAACCAGAAGTAACAAAACCCTAGAAATCTCCCCTTAGGAGCAACGAAAACAGCACCCGATTTTAATCGGAGACAAAAATGGATCCACAGACAGCTTTGGAGTTGGTTAAGCACGGAGCTACTCTTCTACTGCTGGACGTTCCCCAGTATACGCTTATCGGCATTGATACTCAGGCACTACTGTGATGCTATTATAACTCTTTAATTGTTTTTATTTTTGTTCTTAATTTTTTTGGGTAAATTGATGAGGTGTTCTTTAGTTTTGAGACTCGAGTTGCTTGAATATGTTTTGCAGATGTTTTCTTCGGGTCCGAATTTCAAGGGTATTAAAATGATTCCTCCTGGTGTTCATTTTGTGTACTATAGCTCATCCAATAGGTGATTTTGTAATTGCCCTTCTTCTTTTAAACAGTTCTCATTTCTTTACTTATTCGATTGACCTGAAGGATGAAGTTGATGTTCTTTTCCCAGTTTGCGGAAGCTGATATTCTTTTTCGCTGTTTGCAGAGAAGGCAATCAGTTCTCGCCGATTATTGGATTTTTTGTGGACGCTCAGCCCTCTCAGGTTTTGAGATAACTTGCTGTCTTTCATTCTTGTATCTTGTATGAATTATTGCTGGAGTATTCGATTTTTAAAGTGCTGATAGGTTCGAGATATTGTTCTGGAATGTTGGTTTACCATAGTCTGTCTTCTCTTGGTGTTAAAGTGAACTGAATAGGGCTAATCTGTGTCATGTCCAAATAACATAATAACAGGTGATTGTTCGGAAATGGGACAAAAACGAAGAACGGCTGACCAAACTCTCAGAAGAAGAGGTATGTTGTTGAACCAAATGGATCGTTTCCTTCTTGGTGATTTATATGCATGGAAGTTACCTGTCAGTGTATTGTGACGTCTTGTAAATGTCCTCTACATTTGATTTACTAGTTAAAGCATGCTGAGATTTTTAGGGGTACTCTTGCCTGCTACTCATCTAGGGAAGAGGACAATGTTCATGGGGGGTACCACAAGTAGCTAATCTTATTGAAACCGATAAACTCTTTAGGCTCATTGTCTGTTAATTAACCCTATCCTGCTATAGGAAGAGAGATATGGTGATGCAGTGAAAAGAATGGAGTTTGACAGACAACTGGGACCTTATACCTTAAGCGCATATGGGGATTGGAAGCGATTATCTAATTACATCACAAAGGACACTATTGAACGCATTGGTAAGCATTGCAGCTTATTTGTACCTTCATCTGTCTATTTATGTGAATACTGGTCTATTTAGAATGAAGGATATCACCAAGTAATGCATATCGAGACATACTTGTTTGGTTATATAAGGTAGCTTGGTAGATGGTTCAGATACTTTGCATGTTTAAAGAGTTTAATCTTTACACTGGTCCATTGTTGTGCTCATTGTAGGGGTAATTCTGTGGCTCTTTTCTTCTTGTTAGGACCCTATGTTTGCTGAAACTATGTGCTCACATCTCACTTAATATGAGATCTTTCCTGCCTATGACACTTTCCCACCATCTTTCCTCCTTGGGCCACTCCTCCAGCCAAAGGGCTAATTACTTAGAATATTGTCAAAAAAAAGAAAAATCGGACACTTACTGCTCTGACAAGGGTCTGGTATCAAACTATTGCCCGGCACCTGACACAAAATTTTTTTTTTTAAAAAAAAGATCACTGGCACAGCCCGGCAGCCAGTCAAAAGTTTTTTTAAAAAAAAATCAACTGGCTGCCGGGCTGTGTCAGTTGTGTCACCTGCAAAAAGTTAAAAAAAAAAAAAAATCATGACTACCTGTGTATTGGGAGGTAGAAATGGCAACTCAGACTTAGCAGGATAAAGAGATAAGTTGGCTAAGTAGCTCTCTGCAAACAAGGTAATAATTTGCATCTTCAAAAAACACCTGAGGGATAAACATTAAACCAAACATGCCAGAACCAAATGAAGGTGAATGCAGGTCTCTTACGTGATTTGGATT